TTTTTATTGCTTGAGGGGATGATTCCAAACATAAGCATGTTTATTTGTCAAGTGCAGTGAATTCTGCACCACAGATTCATTTTAGTAGCAGGTACTCAGGACATTTTTCAGTGAGATATCTTGCTGTCTATCACCAGTTTTATTATGGCTCCTAGTTATCTAGGGTAGGAAGCTCCAGGGTGATAGGCCAGTTCACTGAGCTTGCTCTCTTGTGATAAAGTTTTGCCTCATTTTTTTGATAGGGTGAAGTGAGCCTGTAAGAAATTACGGTTGTATCTTTGTGTACATGTCACTTGCAAAGTTTTGGATGACCCTAAAAACTACAAAAGCTTCTGGTTTTGTCTTTCTCCAGCCTTAACACTGAAGCAGGGAGAGTTAGGGAATACGATGAAGCTTTGTCAGAGGACGTTTAAGTTGTATATCAGGAAAAGATTCTTCACCCAGAGGGTAGTTGGGCACTGGAATAGGCTCCCCAAGGAAGTGGTCACAGCACTAAGCCTGAGAGTTCAAGAAACACTTGGACAATGCTCTCAGCCACATGGTGTGACTCTTGAGGTTGTCATGTCAGGGGCAGGAGTTGGACTCTATGATCCTCATGGATCTCTATAAACTCAGGATATTCTGTTTTTCTAAAGATAAAAATAAACAAACAAAAATCTCGCTTCATTTGCATGAGACCTTTCTTTTTATTTAAGTGCTGAAAAGCTGGAAGCAAACATAGTTGAGGCAGGCAGCATCCTTCATTAATAAGTTACTCATATGCTCTTTAAGATTTTATTTATTTACTGACTGTGACTTGATTGTCATGTTCAATGTGGACAAATGTCTTGTGGCAAATTGTACCATACTTAACAGGTGTTTGGACAAGAAGGTCATCTGTAAGTCAGACTAGTGAAACATGGTGGTTCCTCAAAATGATGAAAGGATTCTGCAGATCTCCTATGTGGATGGTTATCACTACACTTTGTGAACGTTTTTAGATTACACTAACTGAGATGTACTGATATATTTAATTTCTCTTCAACTTAAGCAGAAAACAGTGGATTTGCCATGTTAAAGCTTGCTGTTGTGCTTGTGGGGGGTTCTTTGCAGGGTTAGGAAAACAAGGTTTGTTTTCCCTAATGCTCTCATCTCCCTCCTGTGGCCATACGTGTAAATGAACTCTGATTTCAGAGGTTGGCTCACAGCACCTCCTCCCATGTAGAGGTGTGAATTTGTGCAACACTCTGTTTCTATTTTGAAACAGCTTGTAGCCTTTGAAGTTAAAACTCGAGCATTAAAATGGAATACTTGCAGTACTAATTGTACATTCCTGTTGGTGGACCTTTTAAATGTCATGTTTATTGGGTTTTACTTGCAAATGGAGAAATTTTGTTGGTGTCTTTAATGTCATTGAGTTGTTGCCTTGATTTCAAATATCACATATGCAGTACTGTGCAACTGTAACCATATCATGTTCTTTAGAGAAAAGACTATTCTGTAGCCTCAGGGCTTTTGTTCAGTATTTTTCCTCTAAAAAAAAAAAAAAGGCAGATGGAAATTTTGAAGTAGTTACACTGTGCAAGTTCAAAAAACCAAAAAGACTGAGAGCAGGAGAAAGTAAAATGAAATTAGACATGGTTTGACTGTTTTTGCAGTCAGATGTAAATATTTCAAAGGCGATGGCATGGAAAGTGTGTCCAAGACTACCTACTACTGAAAAGAAATGTGTGGGACTGTCCACATTAGAGAAACAAGTTTGTTGCTACAAGGTGTTAGGTTGTAATCAGCTTCTCATTCTATACAACATAGGTATCCACAGATATCTGAAGATGTCTGGATATCTCGAGACATATAGAGACAGTGAGGTGTAGATATCAGTTAACTGTTAGGTTGCAGAGGCAGATTACAGAGTCTTTCTCTGTTTTTGTAGTATCTTCATAGGATCACAGGGTGATTCAGGCCAGAAGGGACTTCAAGCATTTTCTAGTCCAGCTTCTTCCTTAAAGCTACCTTTCCTAAGACACTGGGCTATATTGACATCTGATCTTGGAACTTGCTAAAGATGGAGACTAAAAAATTTCTCTGAGCAACCAGTTCCACTGATTGACCGTGCCCCATGGTAAAAATTTCTCCTCATATTCAGTCAAAACTTCTCTTTTGGAGGGTTGATGAACTGAATTGAATTAGTTCTAGACTGATACAAATATTTTTGCTTATTTCTAAGTAATTTACTTTTTTTCCCTACTGTAAGGCTGTTTCAAATTTGTAACGTGACTGGATTACTTTTAGTGCACTTTTAACTCTTTGCATAGACAAAATACTATCCTAGCATGAATGATCAAACCCAAAGAAAGATGTGCAAAGCCTTAGTTCTAGCAGTATTCTCTGGAAGTAGGCACAAGTTTTAAGACAGCTGCTTTAGGACATATGCTTTTTGGGATCCCTCTAGTGGTAGATGAATTTAGTATTAACAGACTCAGTACTGGGAGGAGCCATCCTCCCCTCTAGTCAGTCATCATGGCTAGGCTTTGCGAACGAAGATTTGAGAAGGGCTCTACCCACGCTTGCTACAAGCACACTGATGGCTAAAAAGACCAATGTGAGATAGACAAGTCCGGTTGCAGAAGGCACAGCAGAAAGACTCTCCAGGTGATATCGACGAGACGCGATTCTTTCTGCGTTGTCTTTTCTCCTCGAGAGTGATCCTGCGTGTGTTCTCAAAAGCAGCAGCAGCGTTATAGATGGTGTGTCTCCAGGCCTCCCGATTGGAGGCCAGGGTAGACCAATGGTGATGATCAATATGGCCAAGGCTGAGGGATTGTTTCAGGGAGTCCTTGTATTTCCTCTTCAGGGCTCCTCTCTTGCGGCAGCCAGTGGCAAGTTCCCCACATAGCACGATCTTAGGGAGGCGGTAGTCCTGCATCCTGGAGACGTGCCCTGCCCAGCGCAGCTGTGTTCTCAGCAGCATGGCCTCAATGCTCGTGACTGCTGCCTGTTCAAGGACAGACGTGTTGGTCACATAGTCAGTCCAGTGGATGTTTAGGATTGTATGGAGGCAGCGCTGATGGAAGCATTCTAAGAGACAGCGTTTAACATCCCCTCTAGTATATCCTAGGAAAATGAAATAATCTTTTGAAAACAGGTTTTTGACACGCAGCTGTACGTTACAAACAATAAATAGTATTTTTCATTAAAAACTATTGCTTTTTAGGATGCAGTGAATTTTAATTGAAGAGTAGTAAAATATATTTTAGCTTAAATCTGATTACTTTGTATCAACCAAAAACTTCACATCTTTGTCCTCCAAATACTACTTTCTTTTTTATTTCCTTTAAATCTGCAGTCTTATTCCACCAAAGAATAAATACCAAGCATCTGGAAAAATACTTGTGAACAGAAACTTTTGAGCAATATTTTTTTCTTTCAAAATATGCAGGGTGACTCACAATGACTTCGTCTTATAAGTATCTTTAGAAGGATAAGATCACTAGGCTGTTGTCATCATAGTTTTGGGATATAAAAAACAGAATAACGGAACGGTGGTGTCTAAGTACTCCTTCAACAATTGTAAGAAACAGTAATCCGTGTAGGAGAGAAAGTGTGAACAGCCACACTTTGTAGAATCACAGAATCATCAAGACTGGAAGAGATCTTCAAGATCATCTAGTCTAACCATCAACCTGCCACCACCATAATCACCTCTACACTGTTTCCCCCAGTGCCACATCTAGATGTCTGTGTATTGGGTCTTCACTGTTGCTTCCAGAGATAGTGACTCTACCACATCCCTGGGCAACTATTCCAACGCCTAACCACTCTTCCAGTGAAAAAAAATGTTCCTAATATCTAAACTGAACCTTCTGTGGTGCAACTTCTAGGAACAGAAAACAAAAATGGGATAAGGGGCAAAACTATTTTGGTTGCGTTTAGGTTTAGTAATTGAAAAGCTAAGATTTTCAGTGTGGTCTTTATACGTAACTCTCTGAAGACTCCTCTTGGGTGTACTTGGAGGGGGTGGTCCTGAACGTTGACAATGTATGTGTAGTCTGTACTGTTGCACTGCACCTCTGCACAGGGGTGGTAAGAGCTGTATGACCTGTGATTCTGTCACTTACACTGATGTTACCAGAGAGGGTTTAGGATTTATAAACACAGTTGTTGTTTTTAATATTCTTCCTCTTAAATATTCAGCTGTGATTTACAACTTGCCCTCCACGAAACTGCATATTTTTTTCCAAATTTAGGATTGAAATTAATCTGTATGTAGAACCCATCACTTAGGCTGCGTTTTAAAAATGAGAAATGGAAGTATGCCACTGTTTCATTAATTGAAGGGAAAAAAGATGATTTGTTGATAGTCTCTACTTTTAGTAGGGTAAAAACTGATCTGCACTTATGCTCATTCTCTTCTCATTAAGATGACCTGTGTGCTAAATGAGAGGCCTGCTGCTTCTGGGTCTGTGGTAGCAGCAGGAAGGATAGTCTTTAAAAACTGGTTTTGTATAGTTCAGAACCAGAACAAAAATGGTTTAGTCACCAAGCTGCAGCATTTCATAGCTGGGACATGTTAAGGTTTATTTGTGTGTTAATGTGCTACTTGAATTTGCAGGTGATAAAACATTGATACAGTTTTTTTTTTACTTTTTCTCCCAGAAGTACTGTATATATATATGTATCTATATTATAAACTACTGGAAGAGACATGTTTAGTTTCCTCTAAGTTTCCTTCTTGACAAGTTGAGAGGCAATTGACCTCTTAACTTTGTTTTAATCAGAAAATAAATGCAAACTACTAAAATACTTTAAACTTGTTAATTGGTTATAAATGAGTTGCTGGCTCTGTATGTTCTGTTGACTCCTGTGCTGAAGTATGAATGTAGTGTCTTGGTCTTTCATCCTCTGCTTAGTTCTTCTGCAGAACAGAGAATCTTGGCAGAACTGAGGTACTCTACTTGATAATACAGTGACATTTTAATATCTTAAAATACTTCTTTTTCACCTGACCTCTTTTCTTTCAGGAAAGAAATGACTGCACTGATGTATGCAGCTAGGAAAGGCTATGCTCGTGTTGTTGCTCTGCTTGTCGCTCATGGATCGCACATAAACGCCCAAGATGAAAATGGATATTCAGTAAGTGATTTACTTTTGTGTGTTGTAACTAATGATAAAAATTTTAAAAAGCAAGAAACTGCTAACTTGCTTCTAGGTACAGCTTTCTCAGAAATACCCATTGGAATTTTTTACTTTAACACTCACTTTGACATTCTTTGGCATTAATTGTCTTTGTCTCCAGATTGGACCATGCTTTATTGATTGATCCTCTGTTGTTTCTTGCTCCATACGTAAACTTGGTGAAACAAAGTTGTTCTTTGCAGGCATTAATGTGGGCAGCACAGCATGGACATAGAAGTGTAATTTTGAAGTTGCTTGAGCTAGGAGCTGACAAAGATCTACAGACTAAGGATGAAAAGACAGCAGCAGACCTAGCAAAAATCAATAAACATTCAGAGGTATTTCATTTCATTTTTCTTAGAAATGTAAATTTTATGTTTTACCTCAAAAATCTGTTAATAATTATATAATTTTCTATAGAAGTGTTACTTTAATAATTACATTAATTACATCATAATTATAGCAACTGGTTGTGCTGTTGCATCTCTATAGACAACTTTCTGTTATATCAAAGCCTTTCACAGTGCTGTAAAGGCATTATAGTAGTGTTTTGGTAACACTTTTTCTTTTTTCTTTATTCTTCCAGAATCCTTGACTTTAGATTTAGAATACAAAACAAGGGATTTTTCATGTTAGTAATGTTGGTAAGAGAAGTAGAAAAATATGTTGTTTTTTATCTCTCCGCCAAAATATGTGAGAGAATGCAGATATTGAACTAATTTGCAGAGTATAGTTTCTGATTGAATTTGGAAGTGAAAAGGCTAAAGTTAAAAAGAGAGGAAGTTGGTACTGACTATTTTCAAAATCTGTTCTTGGGAGGGAGGAAGGTGTAAAATAATGTAAATTGATCATCAGGTCGTGGGAAGAGCAGTGTAGAGAGCTACTGAAGACAATGTGTATTCTCCTAAAATAAATCTGTTTACTGCTGTTACCGGATGATGCATGGTGGATCAGTGAGACCATATTTCTGTGTGTTTTGCCTTGAGTTGCTCTTTCGAATGATGTGGCTTTCCACAGTGGCCCTTCAAAAATGCTTAATTCACTCTTACAAATTCTAATTCACTTTGCAACTTCTTTTTCTTACCTTTTTTTTTTCCTGCCAGACTCCGAGGCTAGGCAGGAGCAAAAATGATAACTATGCACAGAGCTGTCAGTGGAAGGTAGCAAGATCTGTGTCTGAGGCTCAGTGATCTGTTAGCTCAGGTTACTGGAAGAGGTTACAAAAGCTTTCTGCCTTTGATAAATGACTTGTTCAGCAGGTTACGGCCATATAATCTTATAACATGGCTTTCTCTGACATGGAGGGAATACAGGCTTCTCACACTTGAGAGGTGGGTCTTGCCTCTTGACCTGAAGTGCTGACTTTCACACAGTTGTTGCAAAGTCTTGCAGATGGTATTGAGATATTTAATGGTCATGAACTTCTTTCAGCTTCAGGATCTGCTCTTCAGGTAGTTGACAACCCAAGGGCCTGTCATACAGACTATGTCTGCAGAAACTGTTTCTGGGAGGGGAAATTTTTTTCATTTATATTATTCTGCATGTGACTGGGATAGAGTTATTTTTCTTCCTAACAGCCTCTATGGTGCTGCAGTTTGGGATTGTGACCAAAACAGCACTGGTAGCACACCAGTGTCTTAGCTATTGCTGAGCGGTGCTTGTGCAGCATCAAGGGCTTCTCTGTTTCTCACACTGCTCCCTATCTCCAGCAAGTAGGCTGGGAGTGAGCACAGCCTTGAGCTGCTAACTCCAGCTGACACAAGGGATATGCCATGCCCCAGTAACATGCTCAGTGATAAAATTGGACACCGGTTGTGCATTTCTCTGCTGGTGGGAGGTGGTGATTGCCTTTGCATCACTTAGGTTTTGGGTTTTTTCCCCTTCACCTATCAAACTGTATGTATCTCAGCCCATGAAAAGTTCTCTTTTTCTTACCCTTGTGATTCTCTCCCATACTGCTGAATTGAGTAGGGACTTACCAGCCAAGATCAACCCACTGCACGTATGTGTATGTGTATATGTATTTGAAACTGGCTAGTCACCTGAAATTCAGGCAAGTGATTTCACTATTCCGTTAGGTTTATTGAAGTTCTACTTGTTTTGCTGTTTTTCTGCTTGTTTTTGCTTGTTTGTTTTAGCGACTATCTTAAAACTCACATAGGGGCCGTTCAGTTTCTGGAATCCATCACTGATGCATAGTGGTGTCTAGCAGAAGGCTGCTTCTTTAATCAGTTGAAAGAATCTCTGTCTGTCAGATATAGTTAACTTAGATTGTCAGTTGTAAATTGATCAATGTTAAGTTAATATGTGTACTTGAAATGGAGACATGAAAACACTTGTGTGCTTTGTACCCTTTAGACAACTTATTGCCTTGAGATATTGAACTCTTGTCTACAAACCACAAAAATTAGTATGTTGGTGTTTGGCTGCTTCTGTAGTGACAGATGCTGACTTTTTTAGATCATGCTACATACACTGTTTTGTTCTGTGTCAGTTCATTGTTGTGCTGGAATTTGGTTAATTCAGAAATACTCTTGATAAGCTCTATGGGTGTAGTCTTAACTTCTCATTATAAATGTATGCTTTAGAGAAGAAGTGGCAGATGTTTCGTGTTCCCTGTAAGTAGTAATTGGTTATAGAACTCTTTATAGTCTTATTCACATGTATTTTTTTATACATTTTGAGTTTGAATAACAATTAATTCATTTCGGCTCTTCCAGATTTTTAGTTTGCTCTCTTTGGCTGCAAATCACGTGCAAGGGAGATACCATAAAACAGTTGAGCAGGAGGCTATCTGCAAATTTCTGACAGCAGTCTCTGACCACAGAGTTGGGTAAATACAGTTATAGTGTAATTTTATCTTATAAACTTGCCTAAGAGATTTTATTTGTTCATATCAATGATTAAGTTGATCCTATATATATGTTCTGTATTTTTTGGAGCACTGCCAAGAACCCATAGTAAGTATATTAATGTACTATTAATTTTTCAAGAATTATAAACAAAGAGCACAATCTAGATCTTTCTTTCCTCTCATTTAGTGTAAAGTGTAGTAGAGCCAGGGTCCAATGTCACTTCAGTTCTTTACAGGTCTGTTAAATTTGTGTACTCCCCTGTTGCATACTCCTTGTTCTGTGCATGTTTATTCTTTATTTGCATCTTTATTTTTGCATCTTTATTTGATGTTAAAATTACGATGCTTTTACTGAATGCCTCTCTTCAGCTTGATGCCACCAGGAAGAGCTACGCCTTTTTTTTTCTGCATATGAGTCAAAATTATGTATGAACACCAATTAAGCTCTAGGAGTTTGGGCAGAGCGTGCTGGTGACTGTGAAGCTTGAAGGTGTGTCCTATGCCTGAAATCAACCCCTGCTTCAGCAGCTTCAAAGATCTCTGATACAGTTTTGTTCCAGAACATGTTGGCTAAGAAGTCCTCAACAAACCATCTACTTGCAGCCTTCGTCTTGAGTTGCATGGTCTTAGAAAGACAGTTTCTAGAGCCCACAGTCTGTTCTGATAGATCAAATTGCCCCTGCTCAGCCAGGTCATGCTGAATTTGAAATGACCAAGTTTTGTATCATTAGGCTGATGGGTTGATGGCAGTTTGCAGGGTAGCAGTTCACGTCAGACAGTACCTCAGTTCGGAAAAAGCTTCACAGGGTTCTGTTGTTAGAATCAAAGAATCATTAATGTCGGAAAATACCTCCATCAAGTCCCAACTCTTGATCAAACACCACCATGTTAGCTAGCACTAAGTGCCACATCCAGTCACTTCTTGAACACTTCCAGAGATGGTGACTGCCACCTCCCTGGGCAGCCTCTTCCAATGCCTGACCACCTCTTCAGTGAAGAAATTCTTCCTGATGTCCAACCTGAATCTCCCTTATGTCAGCTTGAGGCCATTTCCTCTTGTCCTGTCTCTAGTTGCCTGGTAGAAGAGGCCAACCTCCACCTGGCCACAACCTCCTGTCAGGTAGCTGTAGAGAACAACTCTACAGGCCTTCTTTTCTCCATACAAAACAACTTCATCTCTCTCAGCTGCTCCTCACATGACCTGCTCTCTGGACCCTTTACCAGCTTTGTTGGCTTTCTCTGGACATGCTTCAGCACCTCAGTGTCTCTTGTAGTGCGGGACCCAATGTCTTTCTTGTAGTGAGTGGACACAACACTCAAGGTGTGACCTCACCAATGCCAAGTTCAGAGGGACAGTCACTTCTCTGGTTCTGCTGGCCACACTAGTATATGCCAGGATGCCACTGGCCTTCTTAGCCACCAGATCACACTGCTACCTCATGTTTAGCTGTCTGTCAGCCAGCACCCTGAAGTCCTTTTCTGCTGGGACTCTTTGCAGACACTCTTCCTTCAGTCTGTAGTGCTGCTTGGGGGTGTTGTGACCAAAGGGCAGGACCCAGCACTTCACTGTATTGAACCTCTACAGTTTGCCTCAGCCCACTGATCCAGCTTGTCCAGATCCCTCTGGCAGAGCCTTCCTACTCTGCAGCAGATCAACACTCCCACCCAACTTAATGTCATCTGTGAACTTACTGAGGGTGCCCTTCATCCCATCGTCCAGATCATCAATAAAGAAGTTAAAGAGGACTATCCCTAATACTGAGGCCTAGAGAAGCAGAACCAGTGACCAGCCTATTGGTTGGATGTAACTCCATTTGCCACCACTCTGGGCCTGACCATCCAACCAGTTTTTAATGCAGGGAAGAGGGTACCTGTCCAGGCCATGAGCAGCCAGTTTCTCCAGGAGAATGCAGTGGGAGACAGAATGGGAGACTTTACTGAAGTCCAGGTAGACAACATCCACAGCCTTCCCCTCATCCTGAAATGGATGGTCATAAAAGGAGATCAGGTTGGTCTAGCAGGACCCACCTTTGCTAAACCCATGCTCTCTGAGCCTGACCCCTTGTTTTTATGTACATGCTGTGTGATGGCACTCAAGATGCTCTTTCAATTTTTGACATGAAGAGGAGGCAGACCTTCATTTCAGGGCCTACAATAAGACGGAGCAAAGTATCTCATAACTCAGATTTTGGCAAAGGCTTCACTGTAGCAATAGCAGTAGTCCTTTCTGGATTTTGTATTTGTTCTTTGGTTTAATTCTCTTCACTACAGTTCATTTGATTGTTGAAAGCTGTTTAGTTATTCCCCCCTGTATACTTTTATATCTCTTGCTAGAGTGAGGAATCAAAATTGATATTTTATCTTTGATTAGAAGTGTTAAACTCTGAACCTACATTTCAGAGTGTAGTACCTCCTCAGTCTGAACAGTAGTCTTCTGACAACAATTTTCTTGACTGACTAATTTCCTCTATCTTTAGTTACATACATTTGTGTTTTCTTGATAACCTTTTTTGGCTTAACTGGGACCAGAAGGGTAAGAGTTGTGGACTGAATCCAGTTTATAAGAATGTTATCTGATAAGAATACACAGTTATCTTCCTTAACCCTACTTCCGCATTTTTCAGGCTTTTGTGACCCAACTTCAAGATTCAGTTGGAGTGCTTTGTGACTTAAATTGACCTTTATTTATGAAATTCATCCCCTTCAGGCTCAATTCAACTTATTAGACAGAAAAACATTTATAGAATTTTGATAGAGTAAATTGTATCCCATGATATTGATGGGATGCTTCTGTCATCAGCAGGTGTGTGCAACTTTAAGTTGCTTCACAGCTTTGTCTGAAGAGCTTTTCTATAGCTTTTTTTTTTTTTTTTAATTTCCACTGGTTTTAAATCGAGTCTCATTTATTATCTTACAGTTCCTGTTCACTCTTTGATGACATGGAAGTGTTTTTACATGGTCTTGGTCTAGAACACATTAGAGGACTATTGAAGGTAATCTTGTGGTGTGTCTGCTGTCTGTCAAGTAATCCGTGAAAGCCAAATGCAGCTACTGCATAATAAAAAGTTATATCACTATTACTATATTAATTCAAGTAAATTTATTAAACAGAAGTTTATATATAAAATGATAAGTTAAACTACAGTGAACTAGATTTAATTTCCTGATAATGTGCATTAGTCACAACATGTGATGTTTCTAAACTAGACAACTCTTTCATTCCTTTTGTTCCTGAAAACTGAAGTAAAATAAGGAAAAACAAATCAAGGGAAAACTGATTTCTTCTGAAATTCTCTTTGATGGTAGAAACCCCTTTGTTTTATACAGGAACAAGATCTAGCTTTAAGAGAACTTCTGATCATGAAAAAAGATGACTTAATAAAGGTCAGTTTACTACTTTGAAAGTTTTTTTTTCTCTTTTTAAAATGTTTTTAATCTCTTCTCTTTATAAATGTCTAACCTTGTAAGAATTCTTTCAGCATGTTCTGCAACTTCTTGAATTTTGATGTGAATACAGAATTTTTATGAAATGTGTAACAGATCAGTGAATGATCAGGGCTAAACAGGAAATAGTTCTGGTTTAAATTTTAGTTGTTACCATTTTTAGTATTTAGTATGATTTCCCTGAAAGGAAATCAGTGCTTGGATTAGAGTACATAATCCTAAACTACCACTTTAAATGTGGCCCTCCTTTGTAAGGTGGTAATTTTTGTTGGAGAAATGAGAGCTCTCCTGCATTAGAGTCTCTTACTTTGTAGAATCTTATATCCTACTCAGGTTTGTAAAACCTTACCAAAATAAAAAGATTTTGTTTCTTTCAGTTTACTGCAGCTTGGAAGGTCTTTTGCTGTTGTCCAGGATTAAGTGATGTATATTACAAAGCTTCAGTTTTCAGTGGAGATAAAGTGGTTGCTTTTACTTAGTCTTTACTAGATTTTTTCTTGTGGGGAACGAAAGACTTCCTGTGCTTACAGGAGAATGCTCTAATAAATCTGATTATAGGAACCTTCTTGGAACACGGCAAGTACTTCAGGCTTCAGAATTCTTCTGAGCATTCTTTGCCTGGTCTGGGATACCAGAGATGCCCCATAAAAATAGCTGCTTCAAGACTACTCCCTGCTGCTGATGTACTGCCATGTCCTTAATGTCAACTTTTTTTCCTCCCTATCCTGGTACCAAGGAGCCACATGTTCTAGCAGGTGGAACCAGAGTTTTATTCCTTTAAAGTGGATATCAACAAGGATGTTTCATTTGAAGTTTTGTCTTGTAACTGAGTAGAGTTTAATTGTTCTGACAGAACTCACAAGGAGTTCTGTATTCTCAGGGGGTGCACATATAGGGAGCTTTGTCAATTAAGAGATTTTTAAGAGTTCATCTAGGCCTAAACTTAAGCTAGTCACTTCGGTTAACAATAATAAGAAGTGCTTCTACAAATATATCAATAGCAAAAGGAGGGGCAAGGAAAACCTCCATTCTTTGTTGGACATGGGGCGGAACATAGTCACCAAAGATGAGGGAAAGGCTGAGGTACTTAACACCTTCTTTACCTCAATTTTCAACAGTAAGGCAGGTTGTCCTCAGGACAAGTGGCCTCCAGCTGGTAGACAGAGACAGGAAGCCAAATAGCTCCCCTGTAATCCAGGAGGAAACAGCAACTTGCTGAGCCACCTGGATCCTCACAAGTCTGTGGGACCACATGGGATCCACCCTAGGATAATGAGGGAGCTGGTTGAAGAGCTCGCCAAGCCGCTCTCCATCATTTACCGACAATCCTGGCTCACTAGGGAGGTCCTAGATCGTTGGAAGTTGGCAAATGTCACACCAATCCACAAAAAGGGCTGGAAGGAGGACCTGGGAAACTCCAGGCCCTTCAGCCTGACCTCAGTGCCTGGCAAAGTTGTGGAGCAGATCATCCTGAGTGCAATCACACAGCACCTACAGGATGGACAAGGGATCAGACCCCGCCAGCACGGGTTTAGGAGGGGCAGGTCCTGTTTGACCAACCTGATCTCCTTTTATGATCAGGTGACCCGCCTGGTGGATGAGGGAAAGGCTGTGGATGTGGTCTGTCTGGACTTCAGCAAAGCCTTTGACACCGTCTCCCACAGCATACTCCTGGAAAAGCTGGCAACCCATGGCTTGGACAAGGGCACTCTGCTGGGTTAAGAACTGGCTGGAGGGCCGGGCCCAGAGAGTGGTGATGAATGGGGCTGCATCCGGCTGGCGGCCGGTCACCAGTGGTGTCCCCCAGGGATCAGTGCTGGGCCCAGTCCTGTTTAATATCTTTATGGATGATTTAGATGAGGGAATTGAGTACACCATTAGCAAATTTGCAGATGACACTAAGTTTTGGGGGAGTGTCGATGAGCTGGAAGGCAGGAGGGCTCTGCAGAGGGACCTGGACAAGTTGGAGAGATGGTCTGATTCCAACGTGATGAGGTTCAACAAGGCCAAGTGCCGGGTCCTGCACTTTGGCCACAATAACCCCATGCAGCGCTACAGGCTGGGGACAGAGTAGCTGGAGAGCAGAAAGGGACCTGGGAGTTTGGATTGACAGGAAGCTGAACATGAGCCAGCAGTGTGCCCAGGTGGCCAAGAAGGCCAATGGCATCCTGGCCTGGATCAGGAACAGCGTGGCCAGCAGGAGCAGGGAAGTGATTCTGTACTCAGTGCTGGTGAGGCCACACCTGGAGTGCTGTGTCCAGTTCTGGGCCCCTCAGTTCAGGAAAGACATTGAGGTGCTGGAGCAGGTCCAGAAAAGAGCAACCAGGCTGGTGAAGGATCTGGAGCACAAGTCCTATGAGGAGAGGCTGAGGGAGCTGGGGTTGTTTGTCTGAAGAAGAGGAGGCTCAGGGGAGACCTCATCACTCTCTACAACTACCTGAGAGGAGATTGTAGCCAGGTGGGGGTCGGTCTCTTCTCCCAGTTAATCAGCAGTAGGACAAGAGGGCACAGTCTTAAACTGTGCCAGGGGAGGTTTAGGTTGGATATTAGGAAGAAATTCTTCACAGAGAGTGATCAGACATTGGAATGGCCTGCCCAGAGAGGTGGTGGATTCTCTGTCCCTGGAGGTTTTTAAGATGAGGCTGGATGTGGCACTTAGTGCCATAGTCTAGTAACCACAGTAGTGTTGGATCAGTGGTTGGACTTGATGATCTCAGAGGTTTTTTCCAACCTGGTTGATTCTATGATTCTAAATATTATAAGGCATGTCAGTGTGTTCTGATATTACTGATCATTGGATCATTGGACTGCATCCTGGTGTGGGACTTGTATGAATCCTAAAGCCCCTATTGACAGGAGTTTTGTTCTTAAAGAAGATACTTGTGGCTTTCATCTCATCCCTGTGTGAGCTGTCATGATTATATTCAACTGCAGATCTGACTGAGCATATCTTCATATTCATCGCCTCCTTTGGTGTTGTAGTCATTGCTTGTTTTTGTCCAGGGGACACTGGGGGAAGGCCTTGGATAGAATTGTGGAGTTGAGTGAATCGTTAAGCCTTACAGTTCCTTCTCCAAAGATGTGTAGTTTCACTCAATAGCTTCTGTTTCGGTGTTTTAAAATGTTTGAGGCTCCCTCAAACAAGACAAACTGAAAGTTTTGAACAAACTGAAATAGCCACCTGGATCAGCTGCTTCTGCACAGGAAGATAAAACAATTCCTGTGGATATCGCCTCTTAACTCTGCAACAGCAGAAAACAGTTCCTGGAAAATAAGTCATGCTTTGTGCAGGGACATAAATAAATTCGTGAGTCTTCAATTGAGAAATTAAAAAATTATGTAATGCTCCTGGCTTAGTAGCACTTCATAAGTTATCCTAAATTCTTGATGCAGTCTAGTTTTAGAGCTGTGCTAACAGTTTCTCCCCACACTGCTGATAGAACAAATCTAATCTGTTCCCTCGTAACTCCAGAGTTGAAAGTTTTTACTGTGATGGCAGACCTTCAGCTAACAGCCAGCTATTTTAAATAGCCTGGGTCTTATTACTACAAAGATTAATGATGACCTCTGATGGATGCCTCTGACCAAGCTGCTTTGTGTCCAGGGAACTGGGGAGAAATCCTGTCACTAACATGATACACTTTCCTCCATCAAACAATATCAGAAAGATATTTTCTCTGTAAATATCGTTATCTGTATTCTACAACAGAGCCTAAACAATGAGTCTTTCAAGCTGAAATCCTTGCATTCCTTAAGCTTATAAACGGTTCCATACTGACACAAATCTGTTCAATACACTGGGATGTGTCTCTTCAACATTTGAAGGGTTTTGTATGATTCTACACTGCTTGTGACACTCAAATTTATTTATTTTTTTAAGCATCTCTTGTTAGATAGCAACAGAAGTGATTTTACTCCTGGGTGCATTTAGGACTTGGTTTCTTTCTCACATTTTATTTAATTTAGAATAAGAGAAGTCAGTACCCTGTTCTGGATTTGAGAATAAATGAAATGTATAATGAAAAGTTGACACATCAAAATTCAAAATATAATCCAGAAATTTAACTATATCATTAGATAATTACCTCGTCTATGTGCTTCCATATCACAGTTCCAGGACTGTCACTCCTCTGCTCCCCCTCCCTACAAAAAAGCATTTAATATCTGACCAAAATGTGTCAGGTTATTAAAATTAGTGACCACTTGGGCAAGGGGGCAAGGATGTAAGAGTTCATGCATAGCCTCACTGGTTTTATCTGTATGGTATATCATCTTTCAGGTGTTGAGGCAATCTGTTATTCACTCTTGTACTGTTCATTCTGGAATGTGAGTTTGGGGCTTGGATTTTCAGGACTTGCTTTTTATCTATTTAAATCAAGAATAAAATAGTTGTTCTTTGAGTTGATGTGGCTAAAATTAAAATCAAGAGTGCACAAAGTCTGTTTTACGGATATAAGCAAGTTCTTCTAGAACACTTATACATTCTTAAGCAGATGGCCACTTCACAATAATATTCGTGTAATTTGGACTGCAGCACATCATTGAACCAACACTGACTTAAAAACTGACTTATCTATAAAGAAAGGCTTGTCATACTGTGATTGTCCCATGCATTCATTATTGCATGAACAGGTTCTGTGTCACCCTCATGGTCTGTCCAGAAAGGTAAAATATGTCTGCTTTGTGAAATAGTTTGGACTGGTCTATCAAATTCCTGTCTCTAAGGTTCCACACCTTTTTACCTTGATATGCAGAACTACTGTGGGGGTGAAAGGCTTTATCTGTGGTGACATTTATCACATTCTTTACTTCCTGAACTGTATTTTCAAGACATGGTGTCCCTCAGTCAGTGATCCATTTGCAGAAGAACAAAGTACAACATCTTCCTGATATACTGATCAGAAAGCTGCATCCTGATTTGCTGGTTTCAGGAAGGAGAAGGTGGAGTCAAAAGCACATCCAATCTTCACAGGAGTTCCTGCTTTAAGCAAGATAGTTCTACTATTCAGGAATAACTACCGTTCTGTAAATCAGCTTACACATACATGATAAGATAGCTGCTGTAATGCTTTGTAAGCATTAAGAAAATACTGATTCATATCAGATAGGGCTCCACAAGGCAAATGTGAGAGCTAATGAATTGAGCAAACTTACAGCTTGACATAAGTAAAGCAAATAATTTCTAGGAAGCCCAGACCTTTCTCTCTTAAGGCTACTAGTGATATTTGCTGAAATGATTTCAGTACATTTTGTTCAGGTACCCATGGTAACCTACTGGAAACTCAAAAGTTCTTGACACCTATACTTAAATTCCCAATAAATCTTGTTGGGATTTTACCTTACTGAAGAGCTTACCTGTCTATACACTTAAGGTTTTAAAATGTTTAAAGACACACTTGGGAGCCCATAGTTATTTGTTATCTGTGATTGGTGGAGAATCCAGAGGACAGTTTTATGCAGTCACGATGAACACTGGGTGTCACAAACGATAGTCTCAGAATAAAGCAAGCGTTTCTCTAGGCACTATCTCTTTCTTAGAGTTTTGATCTGATGTGTGTTGTCAGCTGTTCATTCAAAATTCTTTCTGCAGTAATTACAGAAATCTGGGATACTCTGAATACTAACATCTTACAGATTTCTGAGGCTTCAGAAGGGAGCTTGAGGTCCTCAGAACATCACTGAGTCTTGTATATCCTAGCTTTGGAGACTCTGGGATCCTTGCAGTCTCAAATTCTAGAGTGGTCTAGTCCCGCTGAATCCAAGTACTCAACTGGAAAGTTAGGGACAAAGTCATACTTGGAGCTGGCATTATAAGGTTTTTCACTTTTGTGGAGGATAATCTTAGGGCTGCTAACACCAGAAGTCCTGTCAGATGAGCAAGGAAAAGTATTGAGTGTGGGACAAAAGCATTTCCCTTTTAACAAAAGGACTATTTTTCTTAATTTACTTAAATGTTCTGCAAGAAAACTTTTAGCCTAGGATTTAAATATGACTTAAAGTTTAATCTGAGGTACTTGATGAATAGCACAGCGGACAATGTTTTCTGTCTCAGGGATTACTTGGAGAATTTTAGTTACTAGTGTTGGGTTTTTCTGAAGAAAATTGTGCTTTTCTTCGGTTAAAAAGGACCAGTTTCTTTCTGTAAAACTCTCCATTTGATGCTGATTTGATAGTTTCTTCTCTTTCTGAGTTAATGCTGTATCACCATTATGATTTGTTATTTTGCTCTCCGAGATGACTCAGATGATTCTGAAATAGATAAGCCTGGCATCCTAACAACACAGGGGTACTTACACAAACTGCTTTTAATTTTTTTTATAAATCCTAAGCCGATTTTCTGAGTATCCTGTGCAATTTCAATTTGGCAGTTTCTCAGCTCTTGTAATTCTGTTCTTCATCCTTAAGTATTTTTTGTGGTTTTTAGTTTTTTCCTTTGGTGCTTATGTACATTGTAATTATTGCAATAACTTAAAAGCAACTTCTTAATAATTAGAAGTTCATGTAATAAATGGTACTGTACTGTTATATCTAATAAGCATTAAAAGTAAATTGTGTTTGGAATTACTCTTTAAATTTAGATTGGCATTACAAATCCTGGAGATCAAGAGAAACTCCTAGGTGCTATTAACGAGCTGCAAGTGGATGAAAAAAGGCTTGAAGACTTCTCTGAAGTTTTGAAGCTGGAATTGAGGTATTAACTGTACATCTGTGGAAATGGAAGTGAAATATTAACTGTTTAAGGTGACCACATTATTTTCTGGGGCTCAAAGCTTAAATTCTCACACCTTATCCCATGCATAGTATTCATAGAAGATGCTAGTTAGTGAATTATGAGGGCTGGCAGTAGGTGTGTTTTTTGTAAAGAAAATTGGAAGCATAGATAAGACAGGCTCTGTTAGTCTTGCAATCAAATTTTTCTGATTGTAAGGTGCAATAAAAAGATGTGTGGGAGGGAGAGATGCATATAATTTCTCTATAGGCCTTTAATTTTCAACTGATAAATTAATATGTTGTACATGTGTATCTTAAATCATACATGTTACTTCTGTATAGATTCAGGGCTTCCTCGTTTTTCTCTTCCACTGGAAGCAGTTTTAACTGGTTTCTAAAACATCTCATTTTTTTATCTTACAAATTAAGCACTTTAGAAGTTATTTTCCACATCATAGATTATATGTATCAGTAGATTTATAAGGAAACTTTTTTTTTTAAGGAAGTGTTACTCCTTCAAATTTATGTTTCAACTTGATATTTTTCCCCATTATAGTCTTTAAGCATCAGCTCTGCAATACCTCTCATACTTTTAGTATAGTCTTGCGCAGTACCATGGAAGCCAGGCCTCTGAGCTGAGGTACATTGCTCAGCAACATTATTAAACTAATAATTTCTCTAAGCTCTGCTACAGCACTCCACATCCAGCACAAAAAGAAAAATGAAGGATATACTAGGTACAAAAGGAGTATTAGGATTTCTTAAACCTCTTACCCTTTACGTGTAAATACATTTTTTTTTCAGAAGACACACCTCGACTTAAGTTTAGATTCTGTGCTCGTATTTTTCCTCTTCTTACTTCCCAGAACCATAGAACAATAGCTACTGAAAATAGGATTAGACAGTAAAGGCTGAGTTCCTCCTTAAGGTGTGTTTATCTCCCTCTTGACTAGTGACCTGACAGTTGTGCTACTACTCTTTTAGATACTCTTTCCCTCTCCAAATCACTGGGGAGTACTATTCTATTATTTGGGTGCACTCTCTTAGTTATGTTGTTCATTGGACCAAAGAATGTGCCTGGGTTCAAATTCAGTCTATATGTGTCATGTTTTGGAGGCAGCTGAATTGCACCGTGACTGTGCATTAGCTGAGAGAGTTGGGATTGTTCAGCCTGGAGAAGAGAAGGGTCCAGGGAGACCTTAGAGAGGTCTACAAAGGGGACCTCCAAGACAACTGGAGAAAGACTTTTTACAAGGGCATGTAGCAATAGGACAAGGGGGAATGGCTTCAAACTGATGGAGGGCAGGTTTAGATTAGATATAAGCCTGGTGAGACACTGGAACAAGTTGCCCAGAGAAGCTGCGGATGCCCCATTCCTGGCTGGGTGTTGCATGGATACATTGGATGGGACTTCAAGCAACCTGGTCTAGGAGCAAGGTGTCCCTGCCCATGGCAGAGGGATTGGAAGGAGATGACCTCCAAGATCCCTTCAACCCAAACCATTCTATGATTCTGTGATTCTCCATCAAAACAAGTGGGTATTTTCAGAAGAAAATCCAGGTGCAAACTTGTACATGTGCTGTAAGACGGAAGAACCGAAGTTCCATCATGCAAAGGGTATAAACCAGTATGATGTTGATACACCATAAATAACTTTAACAGCATTTGAGCCATTCCTATTAAAATAGAGACTTTTAAGGGGACTTTGCTCAGTGTAAGCTTTATGCATTTTTAAGTTAAAATGTGTGCTTTTTCTATATCGTTCAGTATTAGTGTTCAGTATATATATTCAAACAGAGCAGCTTAAAAATTTGAACAGAGTGAATAACTGGAGAAATACAAAAAATTAACCGTTCACTGCATGTGTGGCCAAATGCAATAAAATACCAAAATGGTATCTGGTGCAGTCTCACACACCTATATAGAGCTATACAGTGATACATTTAATTCCTAGTACAGTGTGGGTTAAGATCATAGGAAGTTCTCAAAACCAGAAAATAATTGATTGATTGAAGATTGAAGTACACAAAATATGACAGCATTTCAATTATGGCAAGCACTGCATAGTTTTCTAGAAAATGGCTTGACATGTATTCTAGGAATCTGACCTTGAGACTAAAATCATAGGCTATGTTTACATGCTATTATATAAAGATTTTACTTCCCACTTGTTCAAAGTCATTCTGTGAGAAGGAAGATCAGTCATTAAGTCATAGAAAAACTAACATAGTAGAAAATGTTGAACTGATTGATTATAAACTCACAGAGTGTCTAGTGCTGTTTAGACACTGATGTTTTGACAACCATTCATTCTTTTTAAAAGTGATAATTTTTCGGAAAACATTTCTAAATATAAGAACAGATCACTACAATGGGTATAAAATTATATGAAAATGGGTCGGGGGGTGTGTTAAAGTATTAAGACCTATGGTATAGTGAAGTAGTATGAAAAGAATAAATGGTTTTCTTTCCCCCTCCCTAATTCAAGCCCTTGACACTCTTTATATTTGCTGAGAATCCTACCAGAATTCCAAAAAATAATTTCCTTTGTGATGAAACACAGAAGGTGCCATAACTGATCCCAGACATCAAGAAAGTTGTCTTTCTAAGCAGAAGGAAATGTCTGTGATTATGGCTTGGCTGTAGTAATGTGGGAGAAACTATGACACTATCTCCAGATGTTTAGTGTTTGAGTTTTTACTCAAAATACTCAGTTCAGTTACACTGTTGTGAAACAAATAGCTTATTTTGTAAATACATACTAATAGACTTTCTTACTCTCCCATCTTCATTAAAACCACGATCAATCTTAGTTTTAAACCTCCATTATGCCTACTGATGCATCTGTTTTTCTGTAAACAGGTATTTCTGTTTTAAATGTTAAAGTCTTAACAGTTCAGCACTGTTACAAATCACAGATGTCCTGAGCAGTGGTTGAAACTTTACTCACTAATGATCCTGTGCCAAAGTTGAAGGAAAGAGTTCTATGGCACTCAATGGTCTAAATTCCATCTCTGTCCAGATACTTGTGCTGCACTGGCATGTAGCTTAGTTTACTGGTTTGGCAAATTTCATGGATATCTTTTTGGCCTCAAAAGCAAGTAAGATGGTATGAGCATGTTGCATTTAGGTTTATTAGCAGATTGCCCTAGGGAATAGAGGAATGTTGGGATCTGAATTAGTTTATTCAGATCCTATGGATTTGCCAAAGAGGAAGTTCTACTTTAAGAATGTGTAAGTGTCTCTTGTTTTGACTCTACCTGTTATTCACCCGAATGACTCAGAGCTAATGGAATACTTTCCTACTGGAGATACAGGCACTTCTCAGCAGTTTTTCAGGGTTTGAGAGCTCACTATGTAAAAACAATTGAATGCTCTTCCTTGCCCTCTTTACCTCTTCCTGGTCAATAGCAACAAATTTCTGGCCAGCACCATAACTTACAACTAAAATTCTCTGACACTTCCAGAGATGTTGAGTCATTGTCACATGGAAGCTCTAAAATCCTACTGTTGAAATTAATCCCTTTTCTCCACTCTTTAAAAATTAGTTTGGTCAGTGTCTCCAGAGTTGTCTTCCTGTTAGTATTTGAGCACCAAGTATAAATTTTCTTCCAAATAGATAACATCAGATATTTTAGCCTTTGAGATATATGTTTCCAGATCTAAGGGCCAAGCCAGTATTATTGAATTCTTATTCCACTGTGCTGGGGACTAAACTACTCTAAACCTATTTATTTCAGTCCTAGCTCTAAAAGTAGAAAGCAGCTTTTTTTCCTCCCACATCTGCCTCAAAAATGTAAGCTGCAGGTCAGAAACATTGATATGTAGCATAAAATTGACTACAAATTCTCTCTTTTTGGTGTTGCAAGGCTTTGATTTGTGCACGCACACAGAGGAAAATAGTGTTGCAGTTATTGTGCATAGTGAGTTACAAAATTACTCAGGCAGCGGGTAACGAAATGTTGCAATTGATAATATAGGCTTGATGAGTCTTAGAAGTGCAGGTTAGTAGAATGTTTCTGAAAAGCTTTTGGGTGACACTTTTTCAGCTTTCAGTGTGTCTTACTAGTTGAATATTCCGAGTAACCTAATGATTTGTAGTCCTTCCAAAAAAAAAAGGGTAAGGGAGGAAAAACAGGACAAATAAGGAAAAAAAACTTGCTAAGATGTTAAATGTAGCCTTTAACTACTCAATGTTAAAATTACATTGGGGGTTTTTGTATGTGATGAAACTGCATTTCTGACTCATTAGCCAGTGTTGGAAATGCATAGGTAATATTTGGCTTGCAAAAAGTTGCAGGATTTTGATGAATTAACAAAATATTGCTTTATTTTTGTAGTGAAGATGAATTCTGCAAGTTTCTTCAGAAGCTGAATAAACAGTGTAATAAGTTGATCATTCCTGTGCAGAACATGAATAACCATTTCCGCAAAAATTCTCACAAGGTATTAAACCAAAGAAGAAAAGGTTGATTTAGAGTCTGTTATTCTATCTTGTAAAATGAAACCTATGAATACTTATCAAGTGTCTTGATTATTATATAGCTATATAGAGCCCTCCAGTGCTCTTTCTGTAAAGAACACTTTAAAAAAATAATTTATTTCAAAGATTTAAGCCACACAATTAAAGGAGATAGATTTATTTCATTATGTTTATCCTGATAGGAGAGATAATGTGACAAAAGTTTCCAAGAAAGGCTGCTAGAGATGGTAGATAATGTTGTGCAAAAATCATACAATTAAAACCCAACTTAAATGCAGTCATAAACTTTTCCTGGCACTATCTTTTGTGGTACATTAACTGAAGAATATTAAACTATAATATAAAATTATGTGATTGTGGCAAATAACTGTAACTATTAACAGATGGTACTGCAGTGGGCACCGACTGAAACTTACATTGAACTCTGCAAAGATTTGGTTTGCAGTGTTAAAAAGTTGGAAGAAGAAGTTGCCAAACTGAAGGACCTGGTGGTGGAGGTGAGTGTGTGCGAGTGAGGTTGTTAAATGTTATGTACAGATTTCTGATCCAACCTCAAATGTGACACCATCAGGGACATGTTTCATACATTGGTCTGCCACAGGCTTTTTATCCTTAGCTTGGGCATTGCATCCACCTTTCCCCAGACAGAATGAGAAATAATGTATAATATTCTACAGCAGTGTGGAGAGCCTCCAAAGGAAGGCACAGTCTACCTTTTTCTTTCTACATCAGGAAAGAATAAAGTGGAATGTATCCCTGCACTCTTGGACAACCATTGTGGCATAAACGCTATGCTGAATAGTGACACTCTTACTTTTTAATTAAGGAGTCTTTTGTTTGGAATTATTGACTCACAAGGAAGATACTAAGGTTTTATGGATTGAATGGGAGGCATCCCAGATAACTCTGTGGAGTGACAAAAGAAGAGGGTGGGAGAGGTCAAGGCTAGATGTTAGCACCACATCAGTCATTCTCAAACCAACACAGTGACACGCTCTTGTCAGATGGGGTCATTTTAAGTAATAGGCCAGTAAAAGAAACGGCTGCTGGGGTAGAGTAAATGGAGCATCAGTGTCAGAAAGGAATCTGTTGCTGAACGAAGCCATGTGGAACTCAGACCTTGAGTATAATGCTACTAATGCAATTTCCTGTAGTTTAAGTAAATTTAATGTAATATAACAGCCTTCTCCCAATAAATCACTTAACACCAAATATATTAAGAGGGAGAGATTGTGGCAAAAAACTTATTAGCCATTTGTTCCATTTTTTGCATGTGCAGTAATCAATTGCGTATATATTTGCCTTCTGTGTGTGCAGGCCAGTTATAAGAGCTGGGAGGGATCTGAGTTAGGTCCCACTTGAGTTTGCTCTTATCTGTACTTAAAGGTTTATAGCTGTCAAGATGAAGCATAGTGTCTTTGTATCCAGTGAAACAGACTTCTAATTGCTTTAAAATGCAGTTTTTGGTTTTTAAAATGCTATTATGTTTTATGAATTTTAGTTATGAAGACTTTAATACAAAACATTTTTGTGCTACTTAATTTATGATGGGGCACTTTTGAATGTAGAGCACCCAAATGTTTGTTATGAAAAGTGCAAATTTAAGTGAAACAGTTGAGCTGCTTACATAAAATGTTTGTATAAATTCCCTTAAAGCCTTCAGTACTGTTTGCAAAGCTTAGTCATTACAAGACTTTGTCAGCAGTACGTGTCTGTAGCATATAATTTTTGAAAGGGCAGTAAATGAGATGGCCTTCTAAGCATTATGAAATAAGGCAGGAAATCAGAACCTATCCCACCTGCCCTTCATGACAAGGCTCTACTCAGCTTCAGCATGTATTTGAGCAGGCACTTGTAAGGCTCTCTTTAATTTCGACAAAGGCTAATGTGTTACAAATTTAACTTGCTTTTTTAATAAGCAGTTGTTTTAGTAACTACATGGCAAAAGTTCTGGTTAAAACATTTGACAGTTGGAGTTCGGTTGGTTTGTTATTAGGTTTTTGTAGCATCTATTAGCCGTGTTTTACTCCTGAGTAATTAAGTTTGTAAATGAACAGTTTCTTTTTCAAATATATATTACAGAATGATTGAGTATTAGATAAGATAAAGGTTTACACAGTCATCTATTTCAGTTGAAGTAGGACAGAGACAGAAATAATATCGATCCTAGATGCATGTGAATTCTTAGGACTGGGTAATTTATAACCCACTTAATAAAATACTTAATAAACTTTCACACTAACTCTTTTTTTGTTGTACTTTTTATATGAACTTAACGTCTGCTTCAGCATGAACAGAAGAATGAACCCAACCAAGTGAAACTTCCGAAAAAAGCAGCCACCTTGGAAAAAAGATTAGTTAAAATGGGAGGGGTGACATTGCTTGGATTTGGTTTTTTCTTCTTTATAATTAAATTAGTAAAGAAAACCTAAATTTAAGTTTGGTGCTGTTTCTCATTATATCTGGTGTAGTATCAAGTATGTACTTTGATCTTGAAATAAAGTTATTCAAAATTGAAGCTGTTACTTAACAGTATCTTGTGGGTTTATTTTGAAAATTATTTTCTGTATACAATGTAGGTCTAAAATCCTGTCGAAGCTGCTTTTATTTTCTGGCTTAAGGCTGTGATTACTGCTTACTAATTACTAGTTTCTTCTTTTTTTTCCTCCATTTTTTACCTGTTCAGAGGTGAACATAAGCAAATTCGTCTGATTATATCACATGTTTGTATTTAAAATTATAATGCAGATGTGTTTTAGGCGTTGGGAGGATTTAAAATGTTTTAAGTATCATTCACAATCAAGAGGACTGTGAAGATCTTTTTACACATTGCCTAAAAAGTGATTTCCCACTGAACTATGATAATTCAAATTATACCTGAAATCTTTTTCCTTAGGGATACTCACTTCTATTAGGAGTTTCATCATATCTATTAAAAGGATTATAACAGTCCTTTGCTGTAAGAATGCAGGCAACTTAGAAGGCAAAGCAGCATATTTTTTCTTAATCTGGTCTTTCACTACAAATTTTTTCGTAATATTTTGTCCACTTCAAAAGGTATTTGTAATCCCAGAGTGAAGCATTAATAACTGGTTTTGATCTGCTTACCAAAACAGCTACGTTGGAAAAAGGTGAATTGGTGTAAGTGAATTCAAATCAGTTATGTTTTTACAGGCTTCAGTAAACATCTTTAAAAATGCAGAATATTTTGGACAGGAGATGCTTCTATCAAAATGAAACAAAAGGAATATAAAAAACCATAAACCTGGATGGGTGTGTTACACTTTAGATCTCTCAGTTTTCAGAAGTGTGTGGAGTCTTAATCTTCAGTATTCCCTCCAGAGACCACTAAGGAGAAGATAAAAACTTGAGTGCTATTCCAATTGCTGTTACTGCAGTTCACTGGTTTTTACCTCAGAGAACTGCATTGGGTGTTAATACGTTTCCTTGTTACTGCAGTTGTTTTACCTCTTTTCCTCACAGACATCTCCTTCAATGCAAGGAAAATCCCATAGAGTGATGAGGCTAGAGGAAAAAAGAACATAAGTTAGGATATCTTTTTTTCTGCTCCCCATTTTGGGTTAGAGGGGATAAGCTGTATTCACCACCACCATCTGCCAGCAGAAGTGGGAGTGAACATACTATCAGCCTGAACAAACGAAGTATAGAAAAGGAAATGTTTGTAAAATAGTCCCCTGTTTCTTCATAATACCTTGGAATTAATCCTAAACTAACAAGACATGTATTGTGAAAGGAAGAACCTTTTATATACACACCACTCTCTCTGATTAGCTCAAAATACAGTTCAAATGCAGTTGCCCAGTGCTGGGATTGCTCATAGCTATTACTAGAACTTTGACAGCTTATGTCTTTTGAGTGTTTCTGATGCATGAAGTTGTTGAGGTTTTGGGGGTGTTTGATAGTGGAGGGGAAATAGGCAGGCATGTTGTTCAGACTGTGTTTCCAACATGTACTTTGTATTAGTTAAGAGGAATTGTTTCCGCCACTAGTAAGATTTCTCTGATACTGCACTTGAGGAGATTCTGCTACTTAGCTCTTACTTCTCCACTTCAGTGATACTTTGCATTAACAAAGCCAGTTCAAAGGAGACTGAACAAAGCTTCCACTTCAAGAGGTGCGTTTCCTGCCACTAGTAGATCTTGATATTTGAGTATATATCGACAGTAAAAATGTAAATTATTTCTTTGCATGAATTTGAAGTAAGAATCTGGTCATATGGAGGCCTTTTGAGCTAAACTTGGAGGTCTTGCCATTGAACAGAAAATCTGCTCTGGAAAAGTTTTATCAGTGTTTAACTAAATTATTATGTCTTTGGTGTAAAATACTTATGAGGGAAAAAATAATGTGTGATAGTTGCTGATAATTTTTTTCTACTTTGAGAGTTGCAATAAAATATTCTTTGCAGACATGAGTCAGAGGTCTGAACTCTAGGAGGTGACCTCCCTAACACATTTGGAAGAAGCCAGTCCTTTTCAATTATCTTACAGATCACCTTTTTTGGATGCTTATGACCATGATTGCAAACACACGTGAACATCGTTTGGGTTAAACACAGGCTTTGTGCCAGCTGCATTCTTGGCATCGTGCACTGTTCAAGAATAGTGTTCAAAATGACATAAACCACTCATGGGAGTGACCATGTGTATGTTAATGCCCTCAGGACACGTGAGCACAAAGACTGTTTCTATTTTTGGAGTGACAGGAGGGTCTCAAGAGCTGTCAGTGGTAGAGGCCAAAATAAGCTTGATGGGAGACCAATGGCAAAAGCATCCCATTGTGACAGGGCCAGAAGCCCCTTGCATTCTCAGCATGGGTTACCTCAGGAGAAGATACTTCAAGGACCCAAGGGGTACTGATGGGCTTTTGGTGTAGCCACAGTGACTGAAGTAACGTAACGTTGGAGTAACTGCTTTAAGTTGTATTTGTTAATTATCAGTCAGGAACTGTGTTGCATGAAGAGGACATGCTAAGAGCTGAATGAGCAAAGATTATTTTGACCTATCATGTAATAAAAGGATTAAAATTTTGTTTACTTCCTTGGATTCCAGACTCGGGCTTAAAACAGTGAGTTTCAAGATCCTTTACTCACTTTCATGTTGTTGCAGTGCCTCTTTCAAATTCTCTGACAAGATATCACAATATGGTGGTGATAGGGCAGGGAGCAAAGAAAAAGATTCCTTCAACATCTGGCCCTGAGCTACACTGTCAAAATTCTAACCCCCACCAGCACTAAGGGAGCCTTCAGATGAAAATACCCCTGCTGAGAGGCCTCCTTCTGTAAGTCGTCAAATTGAAGTCATTATCCCAGAACAGGAAGAATACAATGATTTGCATATCTATGAAGGGATTGGAGGAGAATGCTAAAGAGCTTTGCATGTATTAAGCAGGTAAGCTGCGCAGCCCTGCTGGTATTGTTCTCCTCTTACAGTAGTGCAAATTGAGATGTGGAGGATTGAGTGAATTGGACCTGGAGCCAAATCCTGTGGATACCTAGTTGTTTAAAGATGCAGCGAGGTTCCTACTTGCAATGCCATTGGATACCTAACTTGTCTTGATATGGATGTTTATTCATACAATGGCCTTTTCTGAATCTTTAAACTGTTATGTAAAATTAGGGCCTTGGGTCATCCTGTGAAGATCTGAAGAACCTAAAGAATTTTTTTTTCCTAATTTTCCTGTCCAAGATACTCTGCGATTTGTGTGTGTTGTCTCTCTCCCTGTGCTTTGGGATTTGTCCCATTGTTTAAATTTGACTTGTGGAGTACATGGCCTGTCAAAAGACATTGCCCAGTTATTCCTGTTGGCTACCAATTGCAAGTAATAAAGAGTAGTTTGGGTCATGTGTAATTCTTAAATTGAGAGTGATGTTTTTTGATCACATTCTCCATTGACTTAAGCACGTTTGGTTTTTCTTCTTTTTTTTTTCGTCCAAGTGCTTTGTTGAGGACAAGACTAAAAATGTGCAGTTTATTATTTTTCCTCTTGTCATCTTTGAACCACCTCAGGTGTTCCCTAATGCTGTCACTTGCTCATAAGTGTGAGTAGGTGTTTGCTTACGTTTGCCTTCTCTGTTCCAGCAGTTCTGCAAAAGCTACAGGTTGTCTGTCCCAAATAAAGCTGCTGTGTTAATAGTAAAGTACTACAAATGTTGCTTTGGATCTTCTTTAGGTACCAATAAAAAGCTTTGAAGGTCTAAAAAGTATAACTGCAGGCTTCTGCTTTTAAAGGCATGTACTGTCATTTCTTTGTTCTGGAGGCACAATGGAAGTGTGTATTTGAAAATTTACATTTCCCTATTCTAGAAATAGGAATTTCCAGGTAATGGGACTCTGAATTGATAAGCAGTGAGATATGAAAAGGGGTATTACTGACATAAATCAATAATGCGATGTGTATCCTTGAAAGATTTAATAGCAGTTAAATTACTTCAAGCTTTTATCCTGATTCAAATGGTGGTTTCATATTATATAGAGCCATAGTCCCTGGAAGTGGGACTTACAGGGATCCCTCTGGATAAGGATTTTCACTTATTTTAAGCTGTGCTATTAGTAGTGATATATATGGGAGGATATTCTACTTAAGGGTTTGGTAGGGTTTTTTCTTACTAATTTTTCTCAGATGAGCCTTCCATGCCTTCAGCTTTCCTGAAAACAGTCTTTATTTGAATGTAGAAGTACAGGTTTAGCTACATTATTTTCACTATTGTATTGAAAAATCTCAGCCTGATTTCATAAGGTATGCAGAGAACTGGATTTTCAGTGTTCTGGCTACTCCACTGTCACCTGTGTTGCACCTGTATGGCATGATTTCTTAACTGGATGAGGAACTGTGTGCACATAATACTTGTTGAAGGCACAGCTTTCTAGATCCAGTCTGTGCTTGCAGCAAGAGAGGTCAGCAGCCTCTCCAGGACTGCATCAGGAACCAGCACACCCTCTCATGAGACAGTCCTCCCTGAACTTCTCCAACATGAGTCCTTCTCACGGGCTGTAGTTCTTCACAAACTTCTCCAGCCTGGATCCCTCCCATGGGTACAATCCTTGAGGAACAGACTGTTTCAGTGTGGGTCTCCTACACGTCCCAAGTCCCACCACGAGCCTGCTCCACCGTGGACTTCCCGCTGGGTCACAGCATTCTTCAAGTATCTACCTGCTTTGGTGTGGGGTCCTCCATGGGATGCAGGTGTATTCCTGCTCCACCATGGACCTTCTTGGGCTGCAGGGACACAGCTGCCTCACCTTGGTCTGCACCATGGTCTGCATGGGAATGAATCTGCTCCAACACCTGGAGTACCTCCTCATTGTTCACTAACCTGGGTGTCTGCACAACTGTTCCTCTCACACAGTCTTAACTCTTTGGCTGTAATTGCTGTTGCACAGAGGTTTTTCCCCCAGTGCTAATAAATTATCCCAGAGGTGCTGGTGGGATGGCTCACTGATGGGCTCAGCCTTGGCCAGTGGCAGATCTGTCTTGAAACCAGCTGGTATTGTCTCTGTCATATCTATGGGAAGCCTCTGGCATTTTCTCACAGAAGCCACCCCTGTAACATCTCTACTACCTAAACCTGGCCATGCAAACCCAATATGGTTCCCCAGTCCCCCTTCCAACCTTGCCTTGTCATTGTGTGTAATGACAGAGTGGTTGATAGAAATAATAGATCCAAGGTGAATTTGTGTAGGACCAGCACAAAATAGGGCTTGGAGAAGAAAAGGACATAATTGATGAGTTGCTGGTGCAGCTGTTACAGGTAAAGGAACTCCAGTTAGTACAGAAGGGTATCTCAGAAATTCTAACGGGTGAGCTTTTTATTGCAAGCCTGAGAAGGCTTGTAGCAGCAAGGACTGTAGCCTCTGCTTGTAGGGGTCCAAACTGAACTGGAATTTGCTGTCCTCTCTCTGGTGTTTCTCTGCCCTGGTAATTGATCCAAGGTGTATTGTAAACTTAAGAAATAAGTTGGCCAGCAGCTAAAAACTGGAGTGTGTTTTTACACACTGATAATAGCTTTATCAAATAGATATTGAGTGCTCATCTGTTGCTTTTAGGAGTTAGTCGGAGCTGTGGTTGCCTCTGGGCAAGTAGTACTGCTGGAGAAGCATTAATATGCTTCAAGCTTTAATTGCTCTTACTTCAAAGTCTTTGCAGCTTTTGGCATTGTAGCGTGTGGATGGGTATTGCTTTCTGGGGCTTGTTTGGGTTTTGGAGTATTTCTTTAAATTGATAAGTGGCTGATTGTTACCAACTCAAAAGTTGATTTAATTCTACCAACTCAAAAGTTGATTTAATTCTACCTTTTTCTTTCTGAAGAGGAATGTGCTTACATCTGGTTCTGTGTCTGATTTCTAGAAGTTATACCAAGAAACAGAGGAGACTGATGTCTCCTCTGCACACAACCATGGCTGTAATATGCTACCTGAAGAACAGCTGGCAAAGGATGCTTCCTAGCTTGCTTTTCCAGGATTTTCACCTGCAGTTGACAACTGAATTAATCTTTTAGGAACAAGAGCTGTGTAGTCCTCAGCTCTCTT